GGTCCTGAAGGACATTCGCTAGGCACACAAGCTGCAATACTACTTCTACGTCTGGCCAACGTCCCCCTGAGCTCCATACACCTCGTCACTGACGTGAACCATAAGGCGATCGAGCGTATGGATCACAATTTATGCCTTCTTCGTAAGCGCTATGTGGAAAACGTCCAGAAGGGTATGGCATTCGGCGGCAAGAAGAATGCGTGGCAAGATGTGGAAGTAGACGAGTCCGTCTTCGACAAAAAGCTGATACCCTTGGAGGAAGCGGAGTCGCCGACGAAAACGATGATGTGGGAACAGTGGGTGGGCATGGTCCAGCGCGGCAAGCCGGAGTCCCTGGTTTTGATCCGCCTCTCCCCGCAGTGTCTTGTATAAATTGCGTGTGTTCTGTCACATGATGCCTGTGGTTGTGATGCCGATTCCCGCCAGCTAAGGCCCACGAAGCCGCGCTCACCGGGACCCGGTCCCATCAAGAAGTGCGATTGGAAGCCTATAGCCGACAAATGGCTGAAGGATAAGCAAGTGCTGCTGCACACCGACAGCGCTCGTGCGTACAAGTCCAAGACGCCGGGCGTCTTGCATGCTTCCGTGGTCCACAAGAAGCGCCGGGTTTGGGTCGGTGGAAGGTGGGTGTGGGAGCCGCCTACTTACGTCAAGATCAAGAAGGTGATCTTGCCCAACCAGAAGCGTCTGACGGTAAAGGTCGGGACGCAAGTTGTCGATCGCACATGGAGATTCATTAAGAGCCGACTCACCCTGAATCAGAACAGTAAGGTGGGGTCGACTACACTTATTTCCAAAGTACGATCGGCCCAGTATGAGTACTGGAACAGGGGCCGAGACATGTGGGAACGCACAGGAGAGCTTCTGAGCTGGCACATGTCCCAGATCAATGACCAAGTGATGGTCAGTAATCGAGCTTTTTGGAAGGGCACATGAGCGGAATAGCCGTTTATGGCCAGGAAGCAAGATATGAACGGACAGCGGGCGATGCAGTTCGTCAGAGCAAAACATTTTCAGCTAACATAATAAACAACCGTCATGAATCCACAGACTTCTCGGCAAAAGAACTAAACATTTCTGTTGCCAGTGCAACACAAATGTTTGGCCTTTTGTCGAGAAACACGAAACATCTCAATGTCAAATGTACACAGACATGAACTCACACATGCACATCCCATCAGTTCACGTCATCATCACAAGCAGCATCATCAGCATCATCATCATCATCGTCATTGTCATCATCATCATCATCATAATCGTCATTATCATCATCTTCTTCTTATTCATCTTCCTATTCTTTATCACGACCATCGTCGTTGCCATCACTGCCTGCACTTGTTATCAGCAACATCTTCCCTCCCTCGGAAAAAATGTAAGCACTACTCATCAATGTTCTGCTTTTCTTTTGTTCAGTGAGCCGTTCATTGACATCGCGAGTCTGTTTCTGGAGCACGTTTCATTCCCCCCTCCCCCTCCTCCTCACCATCCCCCTCCCTCGGAAAACAAACGTAGGCATTGCTCATCAGTGTTCTGCTTTTCTTTGCATGTATATTCCTACACCTATCGACCCCAATATATATGTATGCGCAACTTATAGTTTGTATACATATGCAGATATAATCTATACTATATATATATATATGCATACACGCAGCGGTCAGGTCTCCGAGCGGCACCAAGCGATGCTGCCAACACAATCTTGGCTGCATTAGTTTCCGCCGCATCATGCTTCCTGTGTCCTGGGAGTTTTGGTTAAGTGAGACAGGTAGGCAGTACCCGTATGAAGCTGTGATGAAGTCATTTTGCGGAGCACGCGACACAGCGAAACTTTAGCATGTAACTCTATAGACCCGAGCATCCATGCAGCCGCTGCCTGTGGGACGCCTACCACGCCGTAAACCGCTTCCTGTGGGGCGTGTTGCTCGTGCAATCCGTGAACCTGAACGTTCGCGCAGTCCCCCAAGGCCCTCTCCGCGTGTTGCTCCTGCAGTCCGTGAAGCTGAAGGATCTCCTACAGGCGTTGCTCCTGCAGTCCGTGAAGCTGAAGGATCTCCTACAGGTGTTGTTCCTGCGGCCTGGGAACCTGAAGGGCTACCTCGACATGTCGCCCGTGCAGTCGAAGTGCTTGCCCGTGCTCGACGTGCAGTACAAGAGCCACCTCTGCGTCCTGCTACGGCAATCCCTGAGCCTGCTCCGCGTCCTGCCATGGTGATCCCTGAACCTGACGGACCACCTCCTAGTCGAGTTCTCCTGCAGAACATCGAAGTGAACATCACCGTTTGGGGAGACTCACTGTGCACACCACAACACGAACTGGATCATGTCATCAGCGCCAAGAGCTTCTTTGATCCGGACTCCATGACCGTGGGCAAGTATCACACAGGCTTCCACGACGATATCGTCACAGGCATCTTCAATCACCCTAGCTTTGAGTATGTCTTGACGGACTTGCTACAGTTCTTGATCGCGATTCGTAGTGAACAACCGCGTAGGCGACAGATATATCTTGGCATAGTCTGCACGAAGGGCAGGCACAGATCCGTAGCGCTCGCAGTGCTGTTTCAACACGTTGTACTGTTTTTAGGGGCAGCGCGGTGCAATCGCACATTCATGTCCGATGAAATCGGAGAGTGGCGACACCTGTGTCGGGGGTGTTCCCGCTGTAACGAGTACAGTGTAGCAAAGATGGAGTTGCAGTGCTGTCTTGCACAACGCATCGCTTCCGTGTGGCAGTACTTGCACTGAACGAAGACGAAAGCTGTGATGGCTGAAAGGTCCTTTCGGGTTCAGGAGTCTTGCAAGCAACCCTGCGACTCAGGTCACGAGTGGTCACACAGATGCTGGTCTATTTTTTCAGGGGGGCGGGGGGTGGGCTTCGGACTGGTTGTTTTAGATTAGGTTTCAGGGAGTTTTTCGGGCAAGGTGTTTTAGATTAGGCTTCAGGGGGGGTTTCGGGCTAGGTGTTTTAGATTAGGCTTCAGGGGGGGTTTCGGGCTAGGTGTTTTAGATTAGGCTTCGGGGGGGATTTCGGGCTAAGTGTTTTAGATTAGGTTTCAAGGAGGGTTTCGGGCTAGATGTTTTAGATTAGGCTTCAGGGAGGATTTCGGACTAGGTGTTTTAGATTAGGAATCAGGGGAGGTTTCGGGCTAATTGTTTTGGAGTATGTTGCAGGTTATGCTTCGGGTCAACATATTTCGTTTAAAGGGTTGCTGTTTCGTATAAAAAACATAGATCTTTGGGGGGGG